CCACCACCAGCCTGCTTGTTGTGAGCGTAACCGTTCGAGCAGAAGTCCGCTGCTTCTCGCCAGCGCGTTTGAAGCTCACAGGGGCTTGAAACTGCTTGTTTATTCCAACAGAGCGTCAATCCTCACACGTGTCGGTTACAGCGACACTTCCTTTGAACCCAGCAAAAAAGAGCGATCTGCGAAGTTTCTGCCGTTTTCTTGTTTGCAAGGTCATGACAACGTTGAGGTGCGAAGACATCAGCATGTCGCAGCATGTCCTTTTTGACATGTTTTTTTCTGAAAAGGTTGCGGTACTTACTTTGGATTTGGATGGTTAATTGTCTCAGTTTGGCTATGGTTTGACTTCGGAGTTCAGCAACATAAACACCGTGCAAGTGGTTCCTCGAGAACATTGAAATGTGTCCGTGTTTCTGCACTGTGAGAAACAAATTCTGAATGCGATCTGCAAGAGAGTGTCCCGATCTACTATCGTCACGTGTCCTCACTGCTGGTCGTTGCACCTTTCAACTCCACCAATTTTTTTTGAACGGGATTTCAAAACCCACGACATGTGGTAGCTGCTAGAATTTCAATGATTCCAAAAATTGGCAAGCAATGAGCAAGCTTCAACATGTTTGTGAAAATTGGACGGAACATCATCAAGTTGGACATCACTAAACCAGTGGAACTTAGAACGAATCTCCGCGAGTGCCTCGTGCTGACACTTACACTAGCCGTCATTCAACATTCCTTCATATCCTGAATCTTAGAACCCTGCAGTGATACCACACCGTTGGGAAGTATGCTGAAATGACAAACACAGCAATGAGTGGAAGTTCGAAGATGGCCATCGGGCTTTAGGTTTTTCTCCCGACCTCCCCATCCCCAACCACCTGGGGGCCTCCGCACCGCAGCAAAACTCTCGAGCTTCAGACCCGTTCAACATAACACAGCGAATTTCGAACCAGAAATTATGTTAGACGTCTTCAACCTTCGCAAGTTTGCCGTATTTATCGCGGTCTGCAGCCATGGTGGAGCTGGCCGAGCGCGTAGCACAGCTGGAGAAGGCTTTGGGCCACATTAGGTGTCCGTTGGTGGCTTGCAGGTTTGAAAGGGCTGTTTTGTACCTTTGGGTTTTTGGCTTGGCCATGCGAAACATTCAACCCCAAGCACTCGAAGCGTTGCTTCTCCAACGAGGGCTCTTCGATCGAAGTTTGTGCGCAAACACTTTGGACCCAGGCCAATAGACCTGTCACCCGCAGTGAGCTGCAATTTGTAACTCCAAAGGCGCTGCAGCAGCACCTTACTGAGCACGACTTCATCCGTGATTTCTGGGGCGAGGCGGGCCCATTTGGTTGGGCATCCGTGGGTTGAAGGGTGGAAGCCGTGGAAGCTGCAGGAAGGATTTCGGGTTTCTAAGCCGTGAACCCTAAACCCTATACCCCTAAACCCTAAACCCTAAACCCTAAACCCTAAACCCTAAACCCTAAACCCTAGACCCTAGACCCTAAACCCTAAACCCTAACCCCTAAACCCTACAGACCCTACCCATGCAGGAGGACGCGGCGCCCCCCGAGCGTTCGGCTGCTACCCGGGCGGCGCCTGGGCCGATCGTCACGGAGGCGCAGATCGAGGTGCCCGAAGGGTGCAAGTTTTTCGTGTTTAGGGGTTCTTGTCTTAGGGTCTAGTATTCTTCGAAGTTTGGGGGTTCAAAAACCACTTGTAGGCTTGCAAGTTACGATTTTTTGACTCTTTTGGAGCCTTTATTGCGTTTTGAGGGTGTCAAGGCTAGGGTCGGGTACACGGGTGCAGGACCTTAAACGACTGTTGAGGGTTTTGCTGTTCCGCGTGTTGAGCCTGTTTCGTGTAGTGTGTAGATGTTTGGATCAGTGGGTGCCGTGGAGTACGGCTGCTCTGAAATTCACAACCCGGCCGGCCAAGGGAACCCGGGCGTGCTCCGGTGTTGACAATCCCGCCGAGCCAAGCAAGACATCCTTATCGCACATCCTCGTATGATCATGTTGTCGTGCCGGATGTGCACAGTGATATAGTTATAGAATGTCTAATCTTATTTTTAGCATAAGCCTCAAGCCTGTTAAACACCGCGTCGCATGTCGAGGAGTTCGAAGATGAGGCCACCCCTGTGTGCTGTGCACCCAGGACACCGGCCCTGGAGAAGCCTCGGAAGCCTTAGGGCACCCTAAACCCTAAACCCTAAGGTGCGCTTGCGGTTTTAGGGTTTAGAGCTACAGGGGTTGCAGTCTTCAAGGGTCTCAGGGGCTGCGACTGAGGGCTGTCGGGTTCAGAAACCCACAGCCTTAAACTCTTGACCGCAACTTAAACCCTAAATCCCACACCCCATATAAGCCCTAGAACCGCTAACCCGTAAACCCCCAAGTTCGGGCGTAGGGGTGCACCGTGCTAAGACGGTGCGCCAGGCTTCTTGGGGTCATGTCGGTAGTTAAGTAGGGCTTACGACATACCAATCTCAGGCCAGGGTGGTTAGGGCTTGCAGTTCGGGTTTTGGGCTTCAGAGTCTAAGCGTTCAGGGCGTTGCGTTCAGTGGTCAGGTGTTACTGGCAGGGTGTTGGGCTTTCCATTGTTGGTTTAGGGCTTTGCATACCTAAGACCCCAGCGCAGCGGCCCTGCCCCGAATGGAACGCCTCCGACTGCAGACCTTGAGGTTCACTGCCCTGCATCATCTAAACCCTAAACCCTAAACCCTAAACCCTAAACCCATGAGCCCAGAGCCTGGCAAGATCCTAGGTTTCGGGGTTGCGGGGTCTAGGGGGTTCAGGGTTGAGGGGTTTAGGGGTTTAGAGTTGAGAGGGTTTAGTTTAGGGGTTTAGGGTTGAGGGCTGAGGGTCCTAGAAAGTATTACGTCCCAGATTCTCAATCGTCTGGAACCTAAACTCTGTACGGCTTCTAGAGGCGACCTGTCGTGGGCTTTTGTTAGAATACACCTGAATCGCATCTCATATTCCTTGGGGTCGCGGCCCTACCGCCCCAAAGTCCGAATCCACCAAACGAATCCAAAACCATGAAGCCTGTCCGATGCATTGGAGGGTAGGGAGAAGAGGAGCTCCGGGTGCCTGTGAGGACGTCGGGGGCGTTGGCCGATGATTCCGAGGAGGGCCTAAGGCAGCGCGTGGAGAGGCGGGAAGCCGAAACCCTTTGAAGAGCACCGAACCTTAAACCCCCAGGGTTCAGGGTTTGTAGTCCGAAAGCAAACATATGATGTTGTTGAGTGATGTGTTTCATGTAACACCGTGTCCCTAACACATCCCTAAGCCTTAAGCCCTAAGCCCTAAGCCGTAAACCCTAAACCCTCAACCGCTGAGGCTCGAGCGGCTCCTGAAGGAGCACCTGGCCTCTTCCACCCCTTGGGATATCGACCGACAGCCTGAGTCGCCTCCCAAGGACTGGGGGGACTTTCGTCTTTGGGTATGCAGGTTCTGGGGGATCTTAGTTAGGGGTTGTTTTCAGGGTTTCTGTGAAGGATCTATGGGTTTCTGATGGGGTTTTCATAGGGGTTTTAGAGCTCAGCGGATCCTTGAGGTTTAGATGAGCACCTTCTCAAGGCACCGGTGCAAGGATGAGGAACGCCATCAACCCTACGAAACATAATGGTAGTTTAAGGTAGGGTCTAGGTTACAGGCTTTTTCTGGATTTGCTGGAAAGCTCTTAAGAAGATTAAGAAGCTATTTGCTTGTTTCGGCGATGCTTCTTAAGGGAGTTGAAGCGGCTTCTCTCCCACGAACCCTACGCTGGCGGCCCCGAATGGGCGGCTTTCAGGGGCTTGAGGTTTGGGAGTTTTGCGGTTGATTCCAACCTTGCCTGTTCGGTGTGGTGACTGTGCTTTAGGGCTCGCAGTTTTTGTTTCCAATGTCTGAGGGCAAGGACATAGAGGACATAGAGCTTGATGTCGCTCGAGAGCTCGAGAGCATTCCTATGCACCATCAACTTCAACCCCCAAAACTACCCTAAACCGCAGATCCACTCTCGAAGCCCACTTCTAAATCATAAGCGCCAAAGCATAAGCCCTAAGAGGCGTTAAACCCTCCCGTGCCCTCTGCGGAGCATCTCGTAGGAGAGAGAGGCAGACGCGGACCCGAACAAGATACGGCTCTCTGGGGTGAGCAAGGCGAACGAGGAGCCTAAACTTCACAAGGCGTCTGTTTCAGGCTTTCGACGGGCTCTGCGAAGCTTCTTCTGGGTTTGCACTTTGTATAGAGTCTAGAGGTTCTCAAGCAGTTCGGCTCTGCGGGAGATGTTGAGAGGGTGCTTACCTGGCAGTTTCTGGACTTTCACAGGGCTCTTCGACTCGACGACTTCATTTCACCGCCCTAAGCCCATAAAAACCTGGACCCTAGATGCCTAAGCCTAATCCCTTGGGGTCGCGGTAGAGGGTCTTGGCGTGGCCGTGAGAGTTTGCCAAAAAGGAGGAGGAGGAGTTTGGGGGGAACAAGATCCGCCTGTCGGGGGCGAGCAAGACGAAGATAGAGGCTCTGAAAGCAACTTTTGGGGGTTGAAGGCCCTGAGCCTTAAACCCTAAACCCTATAAGCCCGAATCCCAAACCCCACATTTTTAAAGCCCAAACCCCGACCCCTAGACCCTGAACCCTTCATCGTCGAAAGGGTTCGGATTCGGGTTCGATTTAGGGGTACTTGGAGGATCATGGGACTTAGTAAGTAGGGTTACAAGTCCCCTAATTGGGGTTATAAGTATAGTTACCTTAGTTATAACCCTACTTACTTAGTCCCATGATCCTTTTAAGTACCTGCTCCAGGGGAGGCTCGGGTCTTCGCGGTTTTCGAGGTTTTCTTGGGCTTTGAGGGGTTGTTCCTGCGGGTTTCTGCGGGTTTTTCAGGGCTTTCAGGGATTGAGCGGATTGAAAAAGGGTCTTTCATGGCTTTGGGGTGCTTGAACTGAAAGTTGGGGGTTTTCCTTGTTCGGGGCATGTGCGCTTTCCCTGGTGGAGGGTTCTTTTGGAGGTCTTTTCTAGGACTCTTTCTCAGGTTTTCTTTGAGGCGCTAAACCCTAAACCCTAAACCCTAAACCCTAAACCCCTAAACCCCTAAACCCTAAACCCTAAACCTTCAACCAGGAAACGTAAAGCTGAAAGCCGCAGCAAGTCCTGGATCTCCTGAAAGCTACCCATAGGCCCCACAGTAGTTCCTTTTTGGGATCCATAGTAGTTCCTTTTTGGGACTACCTTTTAGGATTCTAAATATGAGCCCCAAAAAAAGGAACTACTATGGGGCCGATGGGTAGACTTTGAAGTCGAAAGGTGAGTTCCTTTTTGGGGCTCATACTTAGAATCCTATAAGGTAATCCCAAAAAGGAACAACTTTGGGGCCTATGGGAAAAGTTGAAAGGTGGAGCAAGACTTGCCTCCCCTCCCCCAGCGGGACACCTTCGGCCCGGTCGTCCCGCGCACGGGGCTGAGCCTCTCTGCGTCGGGCTTGGAGGGCCAGGACGGGCCTTTGGGGTTTAGGGTTTAGGGTTTAGGGTTTGGGTCTTCAACAAGAGCCTGAGGCTTTTTGAAGGGCTCTGTAAGGGGTTTTAGAGCGAGTTTATCATGAGGTTTCCCCTACACCCTAAACCCTAAACCCTAAAACCCTGAACCGTTTCATCCGTTTTGTTTTGCCAGGGCTTCACGAGTTCTTTGTTCAAAGAGGTTTGGGTTCCCAAGGCTTGTGGTCAGACTCTGAGAAGCCTCGGAGTCTCGAGGCCGATGGTGTTCTTCATATGGGTGGTTGTCAAAATTAGGGTCCCTTTTCGGGTCCCTTTTTATAAGGGTGCCGTATTGTATTGGGGACCTAAAAAGGGACCCTAGTTTAGGGAACTATTCATATGGATCCGAGCAAAACGGAGGATGTGGAACCATGAGCATCTTGATCAGGCTCTCTCATTAGGGTTGACAGGGTTTGGGGCTTTCGGAGTTTGGGGCTTAGAGAGCTTTAGGTTGTCGGGTGTAGGGTTCAGAATGCGCGTGTTTCCACGCTCAGGGTTGGTCTCGTGCACCCTAAGCCTTAACTTGCAAACCCTTAACCGTAAACTCCTGATGTGTGGCGGGTGGCTTAGGGTGGGCTTTGCTTCGTTCTGTGCTGCCGGAGTGTCAGAAAGCAAGGGATCCTAAACCTAACCCCCAAACCCCTGTTGCCCTATTATCCAACCCCAGAACAGGAGGATCCTCCGTGTAGAGAACCCCAAATGTAGCTTTGAACCCCAAATGCCCTACAAATAGGGTTGCGGGTTTTAGGTTGGTCCTGGTTGAGATAGAGCGAGTGCTTCAGGCCTCCGTCCCGGTCGAAAGTGCACGGATTTGGGTTTTGCTGAGGGTTTAGGGTTTTGGAAGGAGGTTGGGCATTTGGTGCGAATTTTGTGGGGTGGGACTTGTAGAAGTTTCGTGGTAGAAATGTGCACTCAAACTAAAACCCTGAGCCCTAGCAAGTCACCTTATCCTTGCTGAAACTGGTCCAGGACGAACGTTCCCAAAGAGGCTTGCGGGGCCCGGAGGGCAGCAGGACATTTCCATCGGCTCTTGCTCTTTGCTGGGCTGCGTTCCCAATTCAGGGTTTAGGGTGAGCTCTTGGGGATCCTGGCTTCAAGAGCTTTGAGCTTTTCGGGATGGGCTTGGAGGCTTTGAGTCTTGGAGTTTTTGGCTCGTTCTGGTTTGAGGGTGTTGGGGTCTGAGTCTGAGGGTTGCGGGATTGACGCCGGATCGTTGTGGAGCAACACAAGCCTGGAGGCGCCCGTACACACGGGTCCTGGAATGCGGCAAGTAACATGCGAATGCAAGGTGAGGCATGTCGTGGCAGGGTTCTGGAACACACAAGAACGTTTCCAGCCGTAGCGGGGTCTGGAGTGCGGCAAGGAACCGGCAGGTAAACCGATGGGGCAGGTGCAGTGAGGCCATATTGCTGAGGCCTGCCGTTGAGGTTTTACTAGGGCAACTTAGCATTAGCTTTTCGTATGCTCCATCGTTTTGGTTGCTGTGTCCGTGCTTCTTGAAACTTTCATGGAAAGGCCCCCTGGACATTCAACCCACGAAGCCCCTAAGCTCTACTCCAAATCTTAAATCCAAAGGCCATCACGGCTTGCCCGACCCAGTACGCCTGCAGTGGAAATCAAAAACGAATCGTTGGATCAAAGCATCCTCAATTCTCAAATCCAAAACCCTTGAGCACAATACCCAGACACCCGCAAACCGCTATACACCCTGAGAGGCGGGCTTGCTGGCGTGATGGATGCTTCCTGGGGCCTGGCCCAGCGGTGGATGCACAGGAGGTGCACGCACACCGCAGGTTGAAGCTTGAGGGAGCCCATCGCCACACTGGGCACTGGGCGGTTACTGGTCTACACGCATTACGAAGCCATTTGAAAAAGAGGTTAGGATGAGTATCAGCTCAGTCAGAGGAGTCAGAGGCCCTCGTCGTCATCGTCGTCTCTCGTTGCTGGCAGCACTGTTAGTTTCAGAGTTGTGATGACGCTGGTGATACTTCTGTCTCAATGCGGTTGCTGTTTTTGACCGCGCTCTCCTTCTGCCCCAGAACCTCGTTAGCATGTTCGTATTTTCTCATAACCACTCCCACGATTATGATGATCTAGAATCTGCTGTTTCAAGCTTTCTCCTCATCTATATTGCTCCTTTCGCCTGTCCATCACAACTAGTCGCGGACTTCTCGGGCTACGAGTGCACTACAGCAGCTTCATATTCCAATGTGTCCAAAAACACGGAGGTGTCATAAAAATAGTTCAAGCTCTTGTTCCCCAGCTTCTCCGATGCCGCCGATGACACTCGCGATCGGGATGGTGATGATGGCGATGGTGAGGATACCCCAAGACCTTGTCTCCTGAACCTTAACTAAAGCCTAATATTCTAAACCCTATTTTTGGCGTGGTTGTCGTTATTAAGGATGCTTCGGAGACCGCCAGGAGCACCAGTGCCAACAGCGCCCCTCCCGCCAGCATCACGCACGTGGACCATGCATTGCAAGAATCCTCCTGGGACGCGCTCCTGCTCCTCGGATATCGCTTTCTTCTGATCCAATTCTGGCTACGGGTGCAAGATTACGAGTAGACTAGACGAAGTAGTAGCAGTAGTAGTAGTAG